TCTCTCTGTCCCGTGTGTCTCTTCCCAATTTGGGGCTCACTTGCATTTTCCACACTATGCTTGTGGGAGGAGGCATACAGATACAGATACTCGCTTTTTGTGGGTTGTTAAAAAAGATTTCCAACGCTTTTGACTGCATTCGACATTCGGTTTAATATACTTCTCGAGAGACTGCGCTAAAAGGTCATACATTTTGTAATTAGTGTTAGGGTTTTATAATGATTTTGCTCTCGGAACGAAGTACTCAACTTAAAGATACAACAAATATACTTATACGGGTAATCGTAGGTATATAAATTTGTACACTTCCTAACGGGTGGGGGGCTATCTTTTGTTTTCTCTCCTTTCGTAACTGTCCCACACGAACGCACACGGTCGCCAGAACTTACAAAAACAGAAGAAAATGAAAATTCCCAAAGGAAGCATAGATAATGAGCACAGGGTCCGCCATCCCCCCCACCCCGACACACCACTCCGAATGAATGGCAGTGAAAAAGTCGCCCAGCCGAAGCCAAACGCCAAAGCAAAGGCCTCCTACAGCTGAAGAGACAGGTGCGGACTTGTAGAATTTAGCGTTGATTGTGTGGCTCTAAAAATAACTCTTGGGGAAAATTGAACTATATGCATTAGATCGAATATACATATAATTATGCTTTCGATGCTTTGAAAACTGATAGTTTTAGTACCTGTAAATTATTTATTTTGAGTTTAAGCACCTACTTTTTGCTACTCCGAACCTGGTTAAATGGTCAATCCTTACATAAAAAAAACCCTCCAAAGTAATCTAAAAACCCACTTTACCATATATTATATATAGTTTAAATTTTTTATAGCTCTCTACGACTTTAAGTCATAAAATAACTCTACTTTCCACAGTCCGCTCCTGACGGATGAATGGTCAGCAGCGAGTCAGTCACCCAGTTCTCGTCAGGGGGCAGAGTTTTGGGTGACGTTCGTCTACTCGTAGTGTCAGCCATTTTGCCAGAGAGCCAGAGAGGTGGCACAGAGGCACCGGCACTGGCACCGGCACCAGCACCACAATGGCCATATGCCCCGGCCAGTCCCCGTCCCGGCCATTGTGCCACCGCCGACTGCGTCTCCGACACCGACTCCGTTACCATTACTCTGTCGCTGTGTCTCTGCCTCGGATTCAGCTTCTGCCTCCAGCTTTTGTTTTTAGCCATTGTTGCCACTGCTGCTGCTTCTGCTGCCACCGCTGCTGTTGCTGTTGCTGTAGCTGCTTCTGCTGCTGCTTTTGCAACATTTGAATGATTCTCGTTGGTCGTGTCAGTCCCACGGGTAATTATTGACACGGTTGTATGCACGCAGCCCAAAAAGCACACCCGAGCAACAACAAAAGCAGGCGGCACGGCGGCAGTGCGACGGCGTGTTGCTTTGCCACGCGAAAAAAAAAATACAACTCCACTCGAAAATAATAATGAAAATGTCGGTATTTTATGCCTCGAGGAGGGGTTTCTCTCTATAGAGTTAATAGATGATATAGGAGGGTGGGTAGGGGAGCGTTAGGAGGGTGGGTGTGCTGTGGCAGCCGTGTGGTGCTGTGGTGTAGGGGGTGTTTCCACTGTCGCACTTGGCACGCACACGGGACCACGATTAAAACCAATGAAAACTACAATTTGCCCTCGTCTATTAGTGGTAATATTATATGTGGAATGTGCTTTTTATGATAAAGGTAGGTGCTCTATCTGTAATGGGAGGTAATTAAACTTTCGAGGAAGATAAAGACCCAGGCCTATGGGTTAAAAGATGGTAATGTATAGCGAAATCATTGGCATGCCATAGTTAAAGCTCTAAACCTTAGAGTCTAAGGTTACTTTCCATAAATTACCGTAAAAATATAAGTATATTAGTTGATATTTTAGTTCAACATTAAGCTCCACTAATACTACGATTCATCAGATAGGAATTTCACTAATTTCTAGTAAAATATCTTTAGACTACAAAACTACAACATTCCTTTGTACCTATTTTTAAACTCTTGGAAAATCTCAGGTCAATGCCTACCCGTTACTTATTCTTAATCTCGAATATTTCATTTTGAACATCAGAAATTATGGATGAAACTTTTTAGGTCATTTCCTAACCCTTAACTACCCCCAAAAAACTTCATTAAAATCCTTTATTTTCAGTTAACATTAACCAAAATTAATCAGTAACTAATTAACCCCCAAATTCTAGACAATCCCTGAAAAAGTCCCCATAAGTTCTGATAAAATTAAAGAGTATTTCCAGCATTGAAATAAAAACCTTTTCTTTCGCGCGTTTTCTATCCATAAAAAAAAAAAACTTTATATAGCCCGAGGGGCAGGTTTTATCTATTGTAGGTGGGTGTGTGCATATGCGTTTCATGAGTGTATGTCCCATATGTGTGTGTGTGTTCGTGTGTGCGAGTGTTTCAACAACCCCAAAAATGGCAGGTGGCAATAGATAAACGTATAAAATAGTAGGAGGCTCTTGTGGGCAGGCAGCCATGTTGTTTCGAAATTAAATTTCCCATTTCGCTGTCTTTTTTTGTGTCTGTCTTTTTTCGTTTTGTTAGAAAATAATTAAGAGAGCATAGAGAGAAAGAGAGAGAATATAATTATATACCTGATATATAAGAGATATATAGGGGTATATGCTTCTATGCATATTGTTCAAGTGCATGCAGCCGCATCGCGTGGGCCGTTTGGTATATAATTTTATTTTTCATGTTATTTCATTCCGTTTGTTGTTTATTTGAAACATTATAAACCACGCGCCAAAGGTTCAGACATTCGGACATTCGTTGCCGACGCATAAATAAAAATCATTGCACCTTGCGCTTCTGTATAAAATATATGTATTATATATTGTATTATTATTGGTATTATTTTTTGTTCGATTTTGTTCGATTGTTGTTTATATATTAAAGCCTAAAACTGGCTTTCAATTATGTGAATTTATATCGTTTTTTCGGGGGGAGAGAAGCAGCAGCAGGAGGATGTACAAGTATACATATGTATATGATATTTAAAGAGGCTGATGCAATTTTTATGCAGAATTACTAACCAATATTATTGCGACAGTCTGGATGCACGAAATTGTTAATCAAAATCAAAATGAAATATGCATTTAAATTATGAATTAAATGTTAAAAGCGTGCGGCACATTAGAAGCCAATGGATACAGACAATGAGACGCCTCTCGCATCGCATCGCCACACCACGGGGGCAATGTGCAGACGACAAAATGTGCGACAGATTTAATGATATTTTATGATTTTGTTTTCAATTTTTGTTTACAAATATGATGGGGATAGCATTAGCAGGAGATTAAATGATAGGGCTTGAAGAAGATGATAGTAAAGAGATTAACTCTAAGGAATTAGTCATATTTAAGATCAAATTAATTTCTGATGATTAATGAAACATATCTTAAGGTATATATAATAACGGAAATTTTCATCAGAGGGTCATAAAAAAGTATCTTTATCTAAATCTATATCAGTGAAGTCTCTTATTAAGCCTCCGAATTATTCCAATTTAACCCCGAAATCAATTTCCATTGATAATCACCAAAAATATTAAAGCACCAGTGACCGTGTAAATCACTGACAGTGTCACATTTTACGACTATTTACGTAGCTCAATTGACGTCAATCCTTTTTTGATGATCCGTCACAGAGCTTCCTCCAGTCGCAGTCGCATCACTTAAGGCCTTATAAAAGTGTTATTCCACCAACTGCCACGCTTTTTTATTGACCAACTTTCATTAACGATCTCTGAATAAAACCGATTTCCGATGTCCGAGATGTCCGTGAGGGGAGGGGCGTTCCTTTAGTTAATTGCCAATTGCATTCGCACTGACGGTAGAGGGGCAATCGAATCGCATTATAATATCCGCCACTTAATTGTTTAATGGCATTTCGAACACTTTAAGCAAACAAAAGGAAATTAATAATACGCGTAATTAACGCGTATTCCATTGATACATAAACGCCCTATCGCAAAATCCTGAAATCGTGTTACATATCTGCAAAAAAAGGGTGACTGTTAAACTCCCTGTAAAACGACTCGTAAACTGTTAACCAAAAGCCAAAACTCAATTGATAATTAAATCATAATAAAAGGATGTGGATGTATTTTTCGAATAATATTCTTTTTTATTTTTAAGAGTTTTTTTGTTGTGTTTTTTTTTTTTTTCTTGATTTTTTCGTTCAGGTGTGTGTGTGTGTGTGTGTGTGTGTTTTTGTGGGTGTGGAAAGTGCACCGCTTTTTCTTTTGTTTTTGTTGACTTGGTGCTTCTTCCGTTCGCTATAGCATATATATCTATCTGTACGATATTTATATATATATAATTTATTATACAATTGAGGGCATGGCTTATATCTTAGATATTCGGTTTTCACTTCACAAAAATAGTTTTCAAAATACCATTAATAAAACAAAACAGAAAAATTAAAATTCTAAAAAAGTTACACCCAGAGAAAGTAAAGAAAATTTTGTTTAAAGTAATGAAAAAAATTATACAATAATTTTGTGGCATATAGTATCAAAAAATGGAGTTTTCTTTTTATTTTTTACACAATTTTTCGTTTATTTTTTTTGCTGTTTTGAAATAATTTCAATGTGGATTTTTTCATTCGTTTAGCATTTAGTTCTCTTTTGTTTTTCTTTTTGGAATGTACATCAATTTATTATATATTACAATTTATATATTTAGCATTGTGTTTCATAGTCGATTATTCGATTATTTAGTTTTTAAGATTTAGCTATAGTTCTGGGGTTTTCTTGCTTATAGAGAGAGTACTGTACTAAGTAACTAAACTTCACGTTAAAAATTACCGCCTAGAAATTACTCGTACAATTTGTATATTTTATAAATGTTTGTTGTATTTATTTTTTATGGTTTTCAAAGGTTTGTTTGTTTATTAAAAAATCTACAATTGCATTTAAAGCTAAAAAATATGACTTAACTGTAAGTTGTTTTCCATTTTATTTACAGATGGTTTTGTTTTG